CTGCTCTCAACTCTTCCTTAGGAATCGCTCTGCAGGTTCCCGGACGGCATGCTTCCAACGCCCATTCTGGAACTTTCTGCATCATCACATTATCTATTGCTTCCTCCTTCCTCCCCTGCCTGGGGTCCCCAACGCAGGGAGGTCCGCCTCCCGCCGGTGTCCCCCACCCAGGAGCCCCAGGGGGGTGGGGGTGGGGGCACGTTGTCAGCAGCACACGCCCGCCTGGGGCTGAAACACGGGCTTCCGGAATGAGGATTAAGGTCCACTCTCTCTTCTGACCTACTCCCGCGTCTTCATGGGAGCACATCCTGCAGCGATCTTTTGATAAAAAAACGAGTAGGTATAAACTGGGGGGACACCGCACTCCGCGAACGGCCTGCTTCTACTTGGCGGCAGAGTGTGGCCGGGACAGCGCCTTCCGTCAGTGTGTCCCCGCCTCTCGCTCACTCGGGCCCAGGCCGAGTGCGTCCTGGTCCCCGGTGCCCTGAAAGCTGGCGGACTTGTGCCATCGCGGCCCGTTCACTGTCCTGGGCTCTCCGGGACCAACCAGGAACGCGTGTCCTGTGGTTCTGGAAGCTCACGTTTATCTCGGTTTTTCGTTTCCTCCTCTTGTCTCTCGAACCTTCCGTCCTCCTGGCGTCCTCCTTAGACCTGGTTCCCCCTCCTCTTCCCGTCTCCTGGTCCGTCTGCCGTGCTTTCCACGTTCTCCGCACTTTCTCCGCAGCCTCCTCCCTCCTGCCTTTGTCACACTGACGCTTCCCCCTCCGCCTTGTTCTCCGAAAGTCCTCGTATCTTCTTTTACCTCAAGATCCGTGGCCGGTCTGACCTCGCGCAACACACCTGGCTGCCGGGCTTAATTGCTGCAACATCCCTCTCTCTCCTGCAGGTGTCCTGTGTCCCTCCGCCTCGGTCTCTGTCGTTCGCGAGAGAGCTTTGCTCCAGCGTCAGGGCCGAGCGGAGTGGCCACGCGGTGCTCATTTTGTGCTTCACGCACAAGGGCACACGGGCCCCCGTCAGCCCAGCGTTCAAGGTCGTCTCGTTAGGGCTTTCCTCTTAATTTGCTCAGATTGCCCCGGAATCTGGCACCTGGGAGGGTTTCTGGCCTGTGATGTGAAGGCCCAGCTGCTGGTGTTGCCAGAGGCCCGGGGGGTGGGGGGGAGCCCACATCTGGAGCCTGGGGCCGCCACCCCCACACTGAGCCTGGCACCTCCCCCGCCGGAGCCCCTCTGCCAAACCCCGGCCCCCAGCCTCCCGCCAGGCGGACAAGGGGCAGGCTCCTCGCCGCTCAAGGTTGGGGACCGGTCTGCCACTCCGTTCCTGAGATAGTCACCACCGACCCCCACCCCACAGGAGCCTCTACACCCAGAAGCAGCCGCACCTCCAACTCCTGAGACTGGGGGACTCCGGGAGGGAGCTGGGCTCATCAGCTTTCCCCGCCGCTGGCTCAGCACCCATCCGCCTTGGCTCTGCCCAGCTCCCTGCGTGTTCGCAGGCCCCCTGTCCTTCTCCCTGCCCTTGGCAGGGGTCCTGCGGCTTCTGTGGCACTGAGGCTCGGGCAGACGGGTGGACACCGGTGTCCCGCCCGTCCTCCCGTTCCCTGAGCCAACCCCCCTTCTGCCTTCCAGTTCTCCAACCTCAGGGAAGACAAGAAACACGAAGAGATGATGGGCCTCATGGAGAAGGACAACTTTCTCCTCCGCCAGGTGACCGCCAGGCGTGGTTAAACGGTCAGCCAGATCTTGCTGTTTTTGCTGTAAGTCCTGACGCAGCGTGGGGGACATGAGCCGCGAACCCCCTTCGCAGTCAGTCGGGGGCCCCCCTCCGTCAGGCGGCACCCCCATCAGCAGTGGCTGGAACGCAGGTGCACACAGAGGCTCCTCGCCACTGCTGGCTCCACATCTGGCTTGAACTCGGTGACGCCGGCCGTCTTGGGGGGACAAAGGGGTGGGGAACACGGGCGACCCTATTCCCCCGTCCTCCCTCCCCCCCCCGCCCCCGCAGCAAGTGGCGGAGCTGCAGAGCAGACTCGCCAAGCAGGAACACATCATCTCGGAGCTGGAGGCCAAGGTCAGCCAGCTGCAGGACCAGGTGAGCCAGAAGGAGGGCCAGCTGCAGAGACAGAAGTGGCTGCAGGAGGAGATGGGGAGCAGGAACGAGATGATCCAGCAGGCGGAGCTGCAGGCCCGCGTGGCCCTGGAGAGCGCGCAGTCCCGGGTAGGCCCCGCGTGCAGAGCCAGGGCGCCCGGCCTGGGGAGCTCAGGGAGTGAGCAGGGGCTCAGGCTCTTCCCCCCTCGTATCCCGGCCCCCCTGGCGCAGAGTTGCACTCCAGAAATGGTGGTGGAGACAGCAGAGGTGTGAGGGGCCTTGCACACTTCAGCCCCGAGGCGGGGGCAGCCTTGCCCGCTTCGTGGATGGAGTCGCTGCCTTGGCTTGTGCTGGGAGTGGGCACCAGGGCTTGGCCGGCCAGGAAGGGGGGCTCTGCGGTCAGGGGGTATGCTAGTAATGCCACCATCTCCTTGCAAGCTACGGGGTGCTTGCCATGGGTCCGACAGCATTTGAAGCAGCTCGCTGAAGTCTTCTAACCTCGTGCACAAAGCTACAAGCAGGTATTCTCAGTGTCCTCACTGTGTACGTAAAGGCACCTGCAGCACAGGAGGTTAAGTAATGCGTCTGAGCCCCCAGGGCCGCGCAGGGGTGGTGCTGGGATTTGAAGAACAGGATCCCATATCGGAGCCCGTACATGGCATGGAACGTGAGCAGAGGCACAGAGGGAGGCCAAGGTGCCCTCTGCTATGAGGGACCCCCCCCCCCC